GCCAGTGGTTTATTGATTTTGTTGATCTTTTCATAGAACCAGATTTTGGTCTTGTTAACTCTTTAAATTGTTTTTCTTACTGTTTCTCTCTAAACACTTCTCCATCCTAACCGTACTCCATTTCCCCCCCTCATCACCATAAGACTGACTTACAAGGTGATTTTTTTACGAGTGTATCATCTCAGTTACCCTTAAAGCAGCTCTATTAAGGAAGTGGAGGTCTTACACAACTCTGCCACGGTGGTAGTGCTGGTATCACAAAATCTGCTGGCATGGCTCCTGGTATTCACAGAATTCTCCAATCAATATATTGTGGTGATATTCACATAACATTGTGATTATCACTGTGGTCATGTTGACCACAACTCTACAACTTTGGTCATGGTATTCCGTAACTCTGTGACGTGAGTGTTGGTGGTGTTCACATAACTCTGCAATGTTGGTGGTAATATTCCCATAGATGAGTGATGTTGGTTTTTGTATTCACAAAACTCTGCAAGGGTAGTGGTAGTGTTCACATAACTCCGTGACAGAGGGGGAGGCACTGCCTACTGTGACGGTGGTGCTGTTGGTAACTATATAACTCTGTGAAGTCGGCAGGGTCTTCATGTAACTCTTGGTGGTAGTATCCATATAACTTTGAGACGGTGGGAGTGATATTCATGTAATTCTGCAGATTTAGTCATGGCTATGCTCCCATGACCATGCAATGGTGGTTGTAGTATTCATATAACAGTGTGATGTTGTTCAAGATATACACCTAACTTAGCAAAGCTGGTGAAAGTATTAAAGTGAATACGTGATGGTGGTGGTGGTATTACAAAAATCAGCAACAGTGGTTGTGGTGGCATTCAAATAACTCTGTGACATTGGCTGTAGTATTTACATCACTGTGACAGCAGGGGTGGTATTCAGATAACCCTGCAATGTTGGAGGTGGTGGTGTTCGCATAACTGTAACAGTGGAGATGGTATTCATGTGCTCTGCAACGTTGGAGGTGGTGGTATTTGCATAACTATAATGGGGGAGATAGTATTCCCGTACTCTGCAATGCTGGAGATGGTGGTATTCACATAACTGTAATGGTGGAGATGGTATTCACATACTCTGCAACATTGGTGGTGGTATTCACATACTTTGCATTGTTGGCGGTGGTGGTATTCACATAACTGTAACGGTGGAGGTGGTATTCACATACTCTGCAACGCTGGCGGTGGTTGTAGTCACATAACCCTATAGCATTGATAGTGATGGTATTCACATGCCCCTCTGGCAGAGGTCTTGGTACTCATATAATCCTCTGATGTTTGTTCTGGTGATATTCATGTAAACCTATGGGGTTAATCCTGATCATATTGACATAACTCTGAAACCTTGTTTGTGGTATTTACATAATTTGCGATGGTGATCATGGTCGAATTCACATAACTACTGTGTTGGATATGTAATTCACGTAACTGCCCCCTTATTTGTGTGATATTCACATAGCTTACTGATGGTAGTGGTGGCTGTATTCACATAACTCTGTGATGGCAGTCATAGTATTCCCCAAACTCTCCGAAATTGGTTGTGGTAATTAAATAACTTTGGAATAATGGTGGTGGTATTCACATACCACTGAGAAGTGGTATTCACATAGCTCTCCTCATTGTTCATGATATTCACATAACTCTGCTATGCTAGTCGTGGTTGTATACACATAAATCTTTGACTCTCTGTATTCACATAACACAGTGATGCTGTTCTTGTTGGTTGTATTCACATGACTCTAATTACAGGACTGCAACAGTAATCATAGTATTCACATAACTCTGAGACACTATTTGTGGTATTCACATATTTCTGTAACCTAGGTTGTGTTAGCCACATCATTCTTCTACAATGGTGATGGTGACATTCACATAATACTTTGAGGGTAGTGGTGGTGGACCTTATATAATTCTATGAACATGGTCATGGTTTTCACATAACTCTGCTATGGTGCTGTTTGTATTTGCACAATTCTATGACTTTGGGAGCCGTGATATTCCATAATTCTGCAATGTTGGTTGCAGTATTAACGTAACTCTGTGATGTTGGTAGTGATATTCCCATACCTTTGCGATGTTATTGTTGGTGATTCTCCTATAACTCTAAAATGTTGGTGGTTTTATGTCATGGTTTGAATTATGTCCCGCCAAAAATGTGTGTATCAATTTGGCTGGGCCATGATTCCCAGTATTGTGTGGTTGGCCTCCATTTTGTGATTGTAATTTTACATTAAAGAGGATTAGGATGGGATTGTAATACCACCCTTACCCAGGTCACATCCCTGATCCAATGTAAAGGGAGTTTCCCTGGGGTGTGGCCTGCACCACCTTTTATCTCTCAAGAGATAGAAGGAAAGGGAAACAAGCAGAGAGTTGGGAACCTCATACCACCAAGAAAGAAGCAGCTGGAGCAAAGTGCGCCCTTTGGACCCGAGGTTCCTGCGCAGAGAAGCTCCTAGTCCAGGGGAAGACTGATGATAACGAGGACCTTCCTCCAGAGCGGACAGAGAGAGAAAGCCTCTGCCTGGAGCTGATGCCCTGAATTTGGACTTGTAGCCTACTAGACTGTGAGAAAATAAATTTCTCTTTGTTAAAGCCATCCACTTGTGGTATTTCTGTTAGAGCAGCACTAGATGACTAAGACATTGTATTATTCACATTGTTCATTGATGTTATTGATGATGGTATTCACATAACTTGTGATGGTGATGCTGGGATACATATAACGCTGCAGTAGTTGTAGTACTATTCACATTTTATGGGTATAGAAACTTAGGCTCAGAGAAGTTTAAAGTTTTGTTTAAGGTTACATGACAATGTATGATACAGGAGGCTAAAATTCAAGTTTTCTGAATAATTCAAATGCATCTTCTCTCTGCCACACCATAAGGTCTCTTCTTGCTAACTCCAAATTTAAAGGCATTGATGTAAACCATCTATACCTTCAAACTCCCCCAGGGCTTTGGAATGCAAATAGTGTATTGCTACCATTCTAATTCTTTAACTGTAATTATATCCATATGTTTACACACAAATATACATTTTCATATGTGGATCTCATCAAAATTTAGCTACAAATGTAGAAGTATAAATATGACTTTCTGAAAATCTAGGCCAAATAATGCTGAAGAGTACTTTCTGGAAAACCAAAATAAAACACTTTTGAGGGTAATCTATAGTTTATTCATAGAACCCCAGGTATATTTATTAGATATCAAACTTTAGTGCTGGTGAAATTGTTGTTCATACAGTGTTTTCGTTCTTTGTTTAAAAATTATAAACGTCAGAAACACCGTGAAGGTCTCAGTATATGATGTTGGGGTCTGGGAGTGGTTCAATGGCAGACACATGCTTAAGCAATCATTGGATTATACGTTTATGATTTCTGCATTTTACTGTATGTACTACTAAAGATACACTTCTAAGTATAATGAAAATACAAATAGGTTTTATAAAAGTCTAGTATAGTACCATTATAAGCACTAAGGATATTTTCTTATGGGCATGAGTAATTGCTTTTATCAAAACAGAACAGAGTCTCACAATAGAATATGAAGTTAAAATATAACTTAGTAAATGTGAGTGACTTCTATAAATGTCCTTGTTTTAGTTATAAAATGTCTTTTCATCTCTATTTCTGAGCTCATTATTTATGTTTTTTTCCCTTGCAGTACTTGGGATGCATTGAAGTTCTGCGCTCAATGAGGTCTCTTGACTTCAGTACAAGAACACAAATTACCAGGTAAGTCCTCTTCCTGTGATTTTACTTCCAAAAGGAATGATAACAGAGGTTAATAGCCTAGACGTTTCCAGAATGAGAGACTGGCCCATGGAATGCGGGTGACTGGCTGGCAAGAGTAGATCAGGACTTCATTGTATGTTAAGACCTTCTCGTTCATCTATGTTTATCACGTGTCTCTTGAAATGTGTCCTTGAAGGACCTCCCACCTTGAAAGATCTTTTTATAGTTAATCTGCATGCAGATGGAGATACCTGAGGGTTTGTCTTTGTTTTATTTAATGTACAAAACTGTAATACAGGATTGAGACTTTAAAATGTACTGAACTGTGTTATTTCTATTTAAAAAAGAGAATCTAGAATGTTAGGAGAGAATTTCCAACAGTATACACAGAGAGGAAAATGCATTGAATTGGGAGTAGAAATATTAATGGGATTAGGTGATTTAGTAAGCAGACCCATTCTTTACGTTGTCAGTGATTTTAAACAAGTTTATATACGGTCCACCAGCTAGCAACTAGACTCTAAGCTTCCTGAGGGCCAGTTCTATATTTAAGCATTGTTTTTATAAAATTTCATAGCCTAGTGTCGTTCCTAGGAGAGCTCTTATCTTTAGAAAAATGTCAATTTCAAGTCATCTTGAAGAGAGGAACTGGAAATCAAGGATAGGTTCTGTGAAATAGCTACGATTTCAGTGGGCAATGAGTTTATGTTGCCTCAGCAGTTGTGGAATCGCTTAGTCTAAACAATGGCCTCAGAAAATCCTCATATTTATCTCATTCAAAGTACTCAATTGTATGTCTTTCGGTTAGCAAGCCAACATCTAAAGACTGAGCTTTAGAAAGCAGTTGTTTTTAGTAATTAGTAGCTGTGTGAATGTATACACCTCGATTCTATATTTTAAGCAACATAACAATAACTCTTCTTCCTCATTGAAGACATTATTTATGATCAAAATCATTGATGTTTTTCTTCTCTCTAAACTGACTCAACACATGTGAGGGGAACCTACCACCATTAGTAATCTGTTGATTAAGGGTAAGATTGCACAGGCAATTATTGTAATTGCTGTCAATAAATTGTACACCTGTGAAAAGTTGAACTTGCAAAAGTTGCGATAGATATGTTTACTACAAAGACTGAAAAAAAAAAAAGAGTAGCTGCTGAGGGTGCATATGTACAGCCAAAAAACCCATGGGATTTGGTTCCGTGGTTTGGAAGTTTAGGGTCATGGTTTCATGAGACATTCCAGCTAACTGGCTTAGTAATGTGTTTACTGTTTCTGTTCTACCTCCTAGTTCAATGCATAGTGCCTGGGGTCTTAAAAGCTTGCAAGCAACCATCCAAGGCATGATAACTGGTCTCTGTTAGTGTGGAGCAACAAAAGAAGGAGAGTCAGGAATAGGAGGAGGATATGGAATGTGTGGCTAATTTGCCTCCTGGAACAACTGTCTCCTTAGCCATGAGACCGGAAGAACTGGATGGTGCCCAGCTACCATTACTGAAGATTTTGATAAAAGATTCTATAGAAGAATCTGGATCAAAAGGGGGAAAATGGAGAACAGAATTTCAAATTCTAATGGACTCCAGACTTTCTGGAGCAAAGGGGGCTGGATGAACCCCTGAAACTATTGCCCTGAGGTAATCTTTAAACCTTAAACCAAAAATATCCCCTGAAGTCTTCTTAAAACCAAACAATAGTTTAGCTTAACTAGTAAAAAATGTCTGTCTTGAGCATTGTACTCTTTTAGGAACTATCTATATGGCATCAAAGGACAACAGCAACTTGAAAGTTTACATAGGAACCTTAGGGGGCAGTGAGTTTATGTTAATAGGGGAGGAACAACTCAGAAAAGGAAGGTGAGAATGGTTGGACAACTTCAAGAGTGTAATCATCGTAACTGAATTGTACATGTAGAAACTGTTGAATTGGTGTATGTTTTGCTGTATATATTCTCAACAATAACAAAAAAGCATCCACCTCCACATATAGTAGAAAATGGTTCATGGAAATCACAATGGCAAAGGAATGGTATTATGAAATGAGAGATTTAAAAGGAAAGTATGAATGTTTACCTATTCAATCATTCATTCATCCTACCCATGAAAACGCAGCTGCAATACAGCTTTCATGGACAGTAGTCTGGGGGAACAGGGAACCCCTATGAGGTACTTTTCATGTTCTCTTGTGTGGGTTTTGTTGTTGTGAAATGGATAATGGTTGACTGGGAAAGAATTGTTGACTATTTCTATTGAAATTCCTTCATAGGTACTAGAAGTTCTGAGATAATTCCATGTTATTTTAATCCTCCTGATGTGTTTATTATGCACCTACTACTGGCCTGCAGAAGAGGCAGCTTTGCCAGGCCTCCAGGGTTGGGGAGAAAGACAAGTATGCGATGATTGTGAGGCCAGCTCTCCACCTACGGGAGTGAGTGATTCCAGGTTTCCCTTTGATGAGGATATGACTCTTGGGACTCTTTGTGGATTGAACCCAAATGGACAGTCAATAATAAAATTCTAGACGAGAGCTGAGGATCAGAGTGGCTAGAGGTGGAGGTTCGGAAGCCTTTCTTCAATCCCATGACATTTGATTTTAGGGAAGGTAAAGCACCATGATGGGGTGAGTGGAGCATCAGTCTTGGATTCAGGAAACTTGAGGTGAATTGTGACAGTACCGTAACTGCCTTGGGCTTTTCGAAAATGACTTTCTTGTCTCCATGATGCTTTCTGTCTCTTGCCTCGTTTTATCATGCAGCATGTTTCTTGTTTTAGTTAATAGCTGGGGAAATGATTTCCCCCTTGGAGGAAACGATTTGACAGATCAGTGTCAGAAGCAGACCCTTTGCCATCCCCAAGAAGAATACACGGCACACACAGAACACACTGTGGAGCTCTTAATGCCTAAGTGGTCGCTGAGCATTAAACCTGCCGGTGATTAAACTCTACCTCCATACTTTATATGCTAAAGGCTTTCTTGAAAGGCTTTAGGGAAATCTAATGTAATTAAGATCTATTATGCAGGCACAAGAAAACTTGTTTCCATAGGGACTGAGCCATGCCTTTTATAAAATGTACTTTTATAAGGAAATAATCAACACCTACTTATCTATTGCTTAATCTTAAGTTTAGTCTACGCATTCCTTTGAAGGCTCTGAGAGCAGTATCCTGGGCCTTTTTGTCATGGTCAGTTTAGTTCTGTTCTGTTCCTGGCATCTGAGTTTAGACTTATTGTGGTGCACTCAAAAGCACTGAATGTGGGTTACTGATCTCTTATTAAAAGATAATTCATAAAACTACACAATGAAGTGGCTACTCGATTATATACTCAGTTGCTGAAGTGGCTGATCAAAGCCTTCCATTACTAACAACTGGGACAGGGGCACTGGTGATGTGTTTAAGCTCATCAAAAGCTGCCGTGGTGACAGATGTGGACCCTGGCAGCTAGAGTGCCTGGATGCAGAGCCCAGCTCTACTGATCTCTACCTGTGCAATCCTGGCCTCTATTTGCACACCTAGTAAGATAGTTGCACACCTATTCAGATGGTTGTTGTAAGGAATAAAACAGTCTCTCCACAGGAAGCCCATGTGACAGGACCTAGCAAAGAGGGGGTGCTATTTCAGCATTTGTTTGGTTTCCCTGCCCGAGCTTGGAGTCAGCATGGTGGGCACAGGACTCCAGTGTTCAGAAAAGGAGTGTCCACAAGCATGAGGCCTCAGATGAGCTACAGATCCTGCTGAGGGGGCCGCATAGAGGAGCCTGGCAGGGGGCTGCCCCAGGCCCTGGCCAGGGCTCCACTTCAGACTCGCCTCTGCTAAGTGCCTGTCAAACTCAGCCAGGAGACCCAGTGTTTGTGGAAGACTGAAGGATGGATGTGCGTGCCAGTGGATCTGGGTTCCTCCAGTCTTCTGCAGAGAAGACTAATCCCCTTACTCTTACTCCTCAAAAGGGTTCCTCAGTTGGTTTTAGAATGTGGTTCACAATAGCCCCCACACTGCACATTGATATATTAAAGGCTATCCAGGAGTTCATTATAGAGAAATGTGACGCTTGGTTTCTTCTAGTATTGCCTAAATTTGCTAGACTGGGAACTACTCCCTCCCTAGCGTGCACTGCAGACACTGTCATGGACTGAGTTGTGTCTGCCCAAAATATGTGTCAACTTGGCTAGGCCATGATTCCCACTATTGTGTGGCTGTCCCCCATTTTGTCATCTGATGTAATTGTCCTATGTGTTGTAAATCCTGATCTCTGTTTGTGGTTAATGAGGCAGGATTAGGTTATGTTTAAGGGGATTAGGGTGGGATGCAACACTCTTACTCAGGTCACATCCCTAATTCAATGTAAGGGGAGTTTCCTTGGGGTGTGGCCTGCATCTCATTTTATCTTATAAGAAATAAAAGGAGAGAGAAGCAAGCAGAGAGAGAGGGACCTCCTACCACGAAAAAGAAGAACCGGGAGCAGAGCAGATTCTTTGGACCTAGGGTCCCTCCACGGAGAAACTCCTAGACCTGGGGGCAGATTGATGCCAAGACCTTCCTTCTAAGCTAAAAGAGAAAGAAAGCCTTCCCTGGGAGCTAGCACCCTGAATTCGAAATTCTAGCCTCCCATACTGTGAGAGAATAGATTTCTGTTTGTTAAAGCCATCCACTTGTGATATTTCTGTTATAGCAGCACTAGATAACTAAGACAGACACCAACTGGTAATCTGGAAAAAACACATAGGAAATCAGTGTTCTAGATGCATGGGTTTCACACCAAGCTGTGCAGCTCCTGAAGGCCTGAGGGAGGTGTCTCAGGTTGGGGTTTTCCTAGGGGAGGTGGGGACACCAAGTAGGGAGGGCCAGACTCCCCAGCCCTGGCTCAGTCACAGACCTCTGCTTTCATCTGAGTTAGATGCTGAGTTTCCACATGAGGTTAAAAAAAAAAAAAAAAAAAAAGTTGCCTTGAGTCGACTCCAACTCATAGTGACCCAATGTGTGGCAGATTACCACTGTGCTGCA